AAGTTGTCGATTAAAAGCATATGGAGGAAGGCATCTAAGCCTTCGTTCGCGATCTCTTCTTGGTAGACACCTCCACCTACCTCGAGGAAGGTCGATAGTGGAATACCTTGTGCAAACTCCTCCACGAGCACCTCGCGGGTAGAGTAGTCCAGATACGGGTATGGGAACCAGGCTGTGGTGCGTGACCTGAACTTCTCACGAAACATGACGAGGTTTGTGGCTTCAATGCGTAGATCCAATTGTAATTTCATCATTTCACCAAACTGATGAACTTCATCCGGTAAAGATAGCCAATTCATGGTAGGTATGGCGTTGACTAAGGATGCGAAGAACGACATGATTTTCAGATCTCTGTGAATCACGCGTTCTACCCTCGGATGAAGCACCTTTACGGCTACATAGGACGACGGTACCCTTTGGGGAGAGCTCTTGACTAACGCCCCAACGTTCTTTCGTACCTTGTCTCGTAGACCATGTGGATGAAGGTCGATATCGTCATCGGTCCCCGCAAGATTGGGCTTCAGCTTCGCCTTGTATACCTGCGCGATAGCGCCCACGCCCAATGGTTCTTCTTGGAATTCCTCGAATATGTCTTCGAATGGCAGCCAATTGAACGCCTTCCTTATTGTTCGCTTCGTTTGATGCAATGAGTGTGCAGGTGCATTGGAGTGCAGTGATGACATGATGTCGCAGAGTTCCGGTGGGAAGATATCGGTACGTGAGGCCGCCCATTGTCCAAGCTAGATGAAGACCGCGAATGAGTAAAGCACGGAGTTAAAGAGCTCGACGACTAATTATTTACCTTGATGAACGCTGGGCCTGCGCGTTCCATAGATCGGACCAAAAACCTATACCACCAGAGAGTCCCTGTGCGTATGCCCTCGCGATCCTTCAACTGCTTTCCAAAGCATATCGTCGGAGCCGTAAGGATGACAGGTAGGAAGATTATGACGAGATGGACAAACCGGAAGCCCGTCGCAATCGGATCATATATGTAACAGTATGTAAAGACGTAGAGTGTTTGCCAGATTCGCTTCAAGCCTCGCGCATCGTCGTCGACGGTCTTTCGTACCTCCTGGCGCGAGACTTCTAGCATCTGCATCTCGCCGGTCTTCCCGTTGTCGTCATCTCCATCCTCGGCCAGTTGTAGGAATGCTCCAGGCGTCATAGCAGCAATGAGAACAGTTCTGATCGAGGGACCTCCCCTCGGGGGTCTTCGCAAAGGCTGCTGCGTCCATAATGGCCTGCGCGCGAAACGCAATCGAGGCTGCGGAAGAAGGCGGGACAGTAGTAGTGGATTTCTACCACGGCTTAAACAGAAACGGCTCGCGAGGACGGCCGTCCTCATGTTCTCGTAAAGACACCGGCTCGAGGGCAGGTGAATCAGTCATCGAAAGCAGAATAGCTGGCCTGAGCGTTCATAATAAAGGCGAGGGAGGGAGCGAAGAAGAGATGCGCTTGCTTGGTTATTTGTTGGAGTTTCGGGATGGACAGGAAGCCCAGCCGGCGGGCCAAGCACGTGGGGCGACGTCATCGAGCAGTACTTGATCTTGCCCACTGCTATCTACTAGTTATGGTTTAGTAGGTTATACACTTTCTACACATTCATGCATGCGCCCGTTTCGCGATCATCTTCCATTCTATGGAGTCTTCTAATAACCCGGTTTTATCCATTTGACTAGGAAAGCTCATGCAGAGCTTACAAAATCTTCGCAGACAACACCGACCGGCAAGCCACTGTCCCAAACAATTTAGATCTAACCATTTACTGTTGGCTTGGAGTCTTGAAGATGTCTGGACACATGGCTGTGCATTAACTGCTGCATGGTAGATTTATCGGTTTCGGCAAGCGTGTCGGGCTGGCAAGGGGGCGTCAATACCAATCATGGCTAAAATCTTGGTTCTGAGAATAGACTTACATCGCTCTTCAGCAACTCCTGCACCAGGACAGAAATATTGTCGCGATCTTTCTTTGTCTGTACTTGTTCGATCTCCTCCGTGGGTTCAGAGGCGTCTGCACTCAGCGTCTTCTCAAGCAGTGGAAGGATCTCCATTCTTTTCAGGGATCTTGAAACTGCCATGGCGCCCGCTTTATTGGATGCCATAAGGGCCATGGCGAACCAGCCTTCACTCCGGACGACAGGCCATTGTGATTGGGCAATCATAGCACCAACCGGCAGCGCGATATCCTCATGTAAGTCGAAGAACCTGTCCAGCAGGGCAACAGCAGTAGGATCCCCTTCCCGAGACTGTGGCACCAAAGTACGGCATATGGAGGCTACAGTGCGTCCAATCTCTGTTTTGATGGGAGTAGAATCTGTCTTCTGGAAGAGAGCAAGTAGCAAAGACAAGTACGTCCGTTCGTCGTTAGAATCAGTGCCGTCCCTGGGGAGTCCCTCTAGGAGACGAGAAATATTATCAACCGCTGCCACTATCACCTGCCGTGCGATGCTTGTGGCGGCAAATTGAACCTGGGGGACGGACTCGTATTGCCATAGACGTGAAACCGCTGTGATTATGCCAGCCTCTCCAAGTACCAGCCTGTTATTACCAGCGATCGCAAGGTTCTTCAAGAATCCAAGCGCAGAGTGTAAGACCGCGCCTCTAACATCACTCTTAAGGATAGATATTAGTTCTTCATGTATTTTCAGATCTTGAACCATCCTTTCGCAGGTCGCGTCTGAGCGAGCCAAGTTGCCCAGGATAACACAGGAGCATATCTGCAGCTGGTCATCCGTCGACTTTAGCCACGTCTTGAGAGACTGGGCCAGAGGGGAATCCAGCGGATAGTACTGCGCGAATGAGGTGGATCCAGAGATCTCCGCGAGGATTTGGTTGATCTTCAACCGTGACTGTGCTAGTGCCTGGGTATCCTCAGCAGATGACTCAGTCTTAAAGGTCAGTGACCGGCTGAGCACCCCCAGAATGTCGGGCACTATGTAACTGGATATGCAGATTTCTTGAAAGCGCGTATTGTTTAAATATGTCGCCAGGCCACTGACAAGACCGGAGAAACGGGCTGGGGTGGAAGCGACATCTTCGTCAAGAGCAAGTTCTACAAGAAGTGAGATAGTCCCATCGGGAGACAAGGCGATTCCTTGCTCTGAACATTCCCACAGTTAGAATATAAATGCAAAAGGGGGAAGCGAAATCATGCCTTGTTCTCCAACCAACTCGATAAGCTCAAAAACGTAGTGAAGCAGGGCATCCTTGTCCTTGAATGCACCATCTTTTACTAGTTTCAAGAGGATATAGACTATCTTATCGGCAGCCAACTGTGTCTGAGCAGGCCCTATAAATCGTCAGTATCGTAGCTAGCCTTGAAATCCGAGCAAGAGTTTCAATTACCGAAGTCGATGCAAATGTTATACAGGACAGGGATTACCACTTGAATCAAGTCGGGATTGCTTGAGTGCTGTACAATAGCCGCCGTGTAATTGTGCTCCACTACAGTCTCTCTATTCTCATCTGGGAACATTCAGAATTGAGCTTTCTTCAAGTTTCCCTAGGGGCCAGGGAACTCACTAGTGTCAGCACAGGAATTGCCGACGAGCCGTAACGCATGGAGGATGACTTTGTTATCAATGGTCTCCTTCGACGCTATAAGCTGAAGGAAGAAGTCGAAAACCCCAGTCTTGCCATAGGATACCCGCCATAAGGCTATCAAACATATTAGCTAGGTGACAAGACAAAAAGTGCTTGGTTGATGGTGATGATGATACCACCGAAGTGGTTGATGACTTACGGGCTCTGCTGCCATTCGCCATAGCCTCTGCAGCTGGTACTAGGTAAGGTGATCTGCACTTCCACAGCTTCTGAAGGATATCTGGAGTCTCTTTCAGAGCGTCCGAAACGTCTGCATTCTCCGCAGCTTTGAGGCACTTTTGCAGGGACTCGAACAAGTTCTTCTGTTCTTCAGATGGTAACGGCTCAGTTGCCGCAAGTGTGGAGGCCGGTGGCAGTGAAGCCAATTCGGAGAGAACTTGACTGAGAGGGGGACATTGTACTCTATGAGCACTCCCAACTGTCCCTGGGTTCAAATCAGACTGATGGTCGTTGCTCTGCATGCTCCCTGGGACGTCAGTCCTGCCACTAGGGGGTTCCATTTCTTGAAGCCCGCTTTTTGGTCGATATGGCAAGCCCAAGCAAGGTGGTTATTGTAAGACAATAAAAAGGCGCTGTCCCCTAAATTTTTGAGGCTATGTCAGAGTTATGAACTGCTCAATCATGAGGTTGTAAAAGATTGCTAGGATGAATTCTATAGAGTATCGAGCGACAATGGTGGTCTTCACCTGATCGGAGTTAGCGCGAGAAACTATTGCACCCGAGGAATCCAAGGTGCAGGTAGAGCAAATAAAATGCAGGTGGTGTATTCTCGAAAGTAGTAAGTAGGTACTAGTACTGACTCTCTGCTACTCCAGAGGCTCTACTTGCGAGAAGAGACAAAATATCCAGATTAGGCAATCTCTGGGATCCTTTTACTTGTTTCTTTATTCATCATGCCAAATCTAACATTGCAAAGATAATCCATGCTTTTACATTCTATACCTCACAGCACACAGCACTCACAACATACCAACTAACCACGGGACAGACGCAGGTCTCTATTTTCTAGAGACTTGACCCCCCAACGTCATAAGAGGGGGAAGTAAATCTACCCCTCCTTGACCCTTACTTACCTTGTCAGGTACCCTGCAGTCTAGTTAATAATAATTGATTAATCAATTTTGTGTCCATAACCAAGGAGTAACAAACTAAACCCGGATTGGGATGGCGTACGGCGACCTGACCAGCCCCGAGCCGCAAGTCCAGACCCGCCCCGATATGGCAACTTGGCCAGGCGCTCCCGTACAGACAGACAGAACAGACACCAGTTTAACTCTCCCGCAGTCTCTCATTCTAAACCCGGGCAACATTGTAACATCACTTCTACCCTCTTTTAACTTCAGTTCATCTTGACCAAGACTTTTTTTTTCTCTCGACTTTACACAATCATCATCATGACGCGTGCTCAGCAGACTCTCTCCGTTCTCCTACTTGTCTCCTCGGTATGCTACTAGCTCCGTCTAACAAACACGCTGTACAATTGTCGCAAACCACGTCACTAACCAGCATAATTTCCACCATGTCCAGCTCTACCTAGTCCTCTACCTTGGCCTCGTTCCTCTCAACGAAACCGTCCAGACTGAAGTCATCCCTGTTGTACGTTGCCCCCATCGCCTACCTCTACGACCAACAACCCATATCACCCCCTCCTTCATCTACAATATCTCCGATCCGCAATTCCATACTCCCAACTTGCTAACCATCACACTTTATCTTCTACAGCTCCCATTCTACGCGTTAATATGTTTTGGCTGTTATCTTCTCGGTCGACTGGGTCTGGCCATCCTCACTTTCAATGACGTGCCCGAGGCGCATGAAGAGCTACAAAAGGAGATCGAACAGGCCAAGGCCGAATTGCGCAGAGCGAATGTCGATGTCGATTAAAAACAGCAAATCCCTCACTTCCCCAATACCATATCAGTTTTATTTTTCTTGTTGATTCGGCTGGTTTGTGCAATATGGTGGTCTGGTTTACTTGGATGGGGGCGGTTTATTACTACTAGCTTCTTTCAATGTTAGGTTTTCCTGGGGCAAAAGGGGCCCTTGGAGCATTGTTCCTTTGATGTTCTGCATGTGGAGGTGTGTTTCACACCATTACACTGAAGTAAGCTGTTATATTAGTCTGGGTAATTGGGTTTCAGCGGTCGAATTCGATCTTGTGTTTTTGTACGTCTATGCATGGCATGTGTATTACTCTGGAACTACTGTTGATTTGTGGTGTTACTCCCCTATCTGGGGACTCTTGCATTATGACACATTGCCATCTATATTCTATATTGAACGCCATGGAGAAAACATGGAGAAAACGATTTGGTTCGAATTCTGTGTGAGCGAACCTGAATCGTAACTGTTATTAAGAGGCAAACACCAGTCTATGCGATTTGAAAGGTACGCAGGCGCTGTTCTTGAGCAAGATATAAGCTAAGATCTTCATCATTCATGGTACCAAAATTGCTTTTGTTCTATCAAATAAACCCATCAAAACACCTTTCCGTAGCAAACCTGAAACATGCAAAACTCTTCTTCCAATATCTAATGGGGGAACGCAGCATATATGCAACCAACGAGAGCCGGTATCTATGCGTGGATGGCTTAGCCAGGATTTCTAGGCATGAAGAGACGAGGTAAAAAAGAAGTGGCTAAGCGAGAGCAATATCGCGCTGAGTAGAAGAAGCTCAGACGAGAGGGTTCTCCTGGGCCAGTCTGTCGTGCTCGTCAATGTCCCTGTGCGATGGATATGTTAGCATATATATATTTATAGTCCGGCGTTTTGTCCAATGACGTACTTAGCTTCCCAAGGATAGCAGATCCAGACATCAGCGGTGGTGACGGAGGCGTGGTAACGGCCAGAAGTCATCATATCCTCGGGCAAGACACCCTTCTTCGGCTTGTCCTTGTTCTGAATAAATTGTTAGTCGTATGAAGGATATAGATTCGCCGAAAGTCACGAAATCGTGATAATAAACGTACGTGAACAACGTAGACGAAGAAGTTTGTCTTCTCGCCTTCACGGCCGAGCTGCTTTTGCGCAATCTCAACGTCCTTCTGGAGCTCGCTGACGGCATATTCGAGGGTGGTACGGGTATCGTCAACTTCGTCAACAATGAGGATGTTCTTGCCAATGAGGTTGGCCATTTCCAAGGAGCTCAGGTCCAGCCATTGTGTACGGGTGACCTTGGTTCCGGGAACTTCCTCAGCATCACCACGACCCAGGTCCTCGTAAAGCGACAGACCGATGGCCTGAATGGGGATGTTAGGCTCGCCAGTGCGCTTCAAGAAAGAACTGCGTGAAATATAAGTGTCAGAATAAGGTTCCTAAATGAGGTTGTGTTTTATTCCGACGAACCGGAGAATGCGGGCAGGGATGTAGCCACCACCGCCGATAGCAATCATAAGATTGGGCTGGAAAGTGTCCAGGATCTTGTCAGCGGAGGCCTGGCATAGTTTGTGAACCTGCCAAGGACATTCGGATGTTAGCGGATTGTTGCAACTGAACGGACAAATGTGTGACGGCCAAGCTAGGCTGCGACGTAGGCATTTGGCCAAATGACCGAGAAATGTGCATGCAAGACCGGCAATGGCAGATACGCCTCACACGAGCACGAAAACCAAGACCATCTACATGTGGCTGGGCTTGGAAAATGTAGAGATTTCGAAAGCAAGCTGCATACCTGGTTGTACGTGACATAAACCTTCTGCGGCATTTTGACGGCGGGTGCGAGGGGTTCGCAGGAATTGACCGATTGAGGAGATATGATAAGTAGAGTTGGAGATGATCAAAAGGCTTGACCGGAAGTCAGGAGCGTGTACAAGTGAGATGGATAGGTGAGGATACTAGTGAGTACGGAGATGGCAAGATCACATATGAGGGGTAAATTGGAACCCAGAAATTTTTTTTCCTTTTCGTTTTTTTTACCCCTCGTTTTTTTTACTCAAATTTTTAAAATTAGGATTAAAGGAACACCTGCGTCACAAGCTGGATAACGGGATAAGGTTCTCTGCCGAGTACTTTTGCCCGCCGGGCTGCCACACGACAGAGACAGATCAAATCATGGGCCCATGGGGGACTTTACCATATTCGGGATGCGGGGACTGTATGGTGGCCTATCAGGGTGTATCTTTATGCGCTAGTAGGGGGTCTGATTCCTAATTTAGTATGGTCTGTTTCTGCCATCAGTAATGGAAATCAGTTGGAGAGGCGGAGGACGGAGGTCTCCGTCACTAGGCGGCCTCCAAACCAGGATGTTCCTGATATGCGTACTCTTGCGTTCTTCTGTACCAAGCTTCTTTACTAGTTACGTAGATCCTATGCTTATTACGGGAAACTCATACTGCAATTTCGAAATATACACCTAACTTAGGTTAGTTCATAACCTTAGGAGTAGTGTAATTCCCTATCTAGTTCTGTGGCGGGGTATTCGGACCCCTCCACTAAGTGGGAGTCTCCCCCCTCACTTACTACACATAGGAATTTTTGACCAAGAGAACTTTTATCGTCATTCGGTACCCGATTATATGCATCTTATGGGTATATATGCTGCGCTAAAATGACCCAAACAAGAAAACCATCGAAGGTTTCATCCCATCTCAATAACAACTTCTATTTGCCTGAAAGAGCGAGACGTTGGCACCCCTCTATACAGGTGTATTCTCACCTGGCGACTCAGGCTTTATTCGGTTGACCTCAAAGCCTCCTTCATCTTTATCTTCTCCTTTCTGCGGCCAAAGTATTTGGTGATGCACGATGGCACGCACCATCATATAACAGACGAAGATATACATCAAGATCAGCGGAAACACCATAGCGCAGCCGATGATGGATATTGCCTTGCAAGAAAAGGCCTTTCCAATTGCAAAGGTTGCCGTTATCAGTGCCGTGTTCGGGAAGACGAATGAAAACCATGCCATCGAAAAGACCATCCGGCCCGGTCCAATGGCAGACCAATGTGCGAAGCTGGCAATGAAGAAGAAGAATATTGCTAACCTGAAGCGCATATCAGTACGTGTTTCGTAGTGACATCCAATGTAAAGGGGGCCAGCCATTCTTACCCCCATAGCCATAAACAGGAAAAGTTAGCAACAACTTTCACAATGTCTGCAGCTAATGCACCATTGCCCATGAAATCCTCCGGGAAGCTTCTTTTGGCATGGGCTGCCATGTTGACAATCCCAGACACAGTAAACGCACTGGGACCAACCGATACGAACATACCTGGTCGGACATTTTCTCGGGGGAGCTTTTGCGACATCAGCCGGTAGATAAAAGCCGAGTACACCATCAGAGATACCAAGAAGCCAACGCCTTGGATAGTGGTACCACCAATTATGATTCGCAAAGAGCGAGCAGGCTCAAGTTTGGAGCTCAGGATCCCAGCATGAGGGCCTATAATAAGCATTGGGTACGCAGGGAAGATCCAAATAGGTGTCATTTGTGCAATTGTAAATGTCTGGGTCGACCACCTACAGCTCATTAGTTGTCCTGCTTGGTTTCTAGGCTCACACTTCTAATATTAGGGCCTCTTTGTACTCACAGAATGAGGTAAATAGCGGCAGAAGAGATGACTGCCAGGGCTGCATCAATCCAAAACAAGATTCCGACCGCATATGTAAGCCAGGGCCCTGTGTGGTTGGGTCCATATTGTGAGATATTAATCAAAATCGTCCCAAAAGAGACCAGCGAAGCCGGAACAAATAATGACTCTGTCGGATGCAGAAAGGATGCCTTGAAAGTGTAAGGGTATAGATAGAAACGTGTTATCAAAAGGCACCAGATTAAGATGTAGAGAAACAAGTTGGCTAGGAAGAAGATGATTCCAATGGTTTCCAAGCCGCGAAATCTATAGGGTACTGTTCCATGCTGGCGATCAGTACATTTACCCTATACCTACCTAAGACAAGGGACACACTCACCAAAGTACAAAACATTTGCGATTCCCCCAGTCGCCATAGTTAGGGTGAAAAATGCCCAGGTAATGTGACGAATACGCTTCTTCCATCCAAGACCAGTTGGTCTGGTTTCAGCTTCACTCTGGGGGTAAGCCATTCCATCCACACCCTCGTCTCCATCTCCTTCAGACTTGCGATATGAAGAGCTGTGAATGGCGTCTAATGCCGAGGTGTGGGCCTGGCTTATTATAGATCCTCTGGGGTGAAAGTAAGAATCGCCGCCAGTATTTCCTGCAAGGTCATTTTGGGTATCTTCAATGGTTGGGGTTCGGTAGCCATCATCCCCTGGGCTTCTTAGGTGTCTGGGAAACAAGCGATCCGGAGTCATGGCGGGTTCTCTGTGGGTAACGACGCAGTCATGCTTGTAATTTCTTGGACAAAGTCTCAGATCAGATCCCCTGCTGATCTCTTCTGGAACAGGTTCCTCGAAATGCAACTTCCCTTGCTGGGCAAGGTTTCCTCAGGTCGGGAATATCGGTCTCCAACTATATACCTCACAACTTGGTCTGAAACACATACACAAGGAGTCGGCCTGCTAGGGGGGGAAAGGGTGATGACGACCACACAAATTTGCTTTTCGTCTTAAAGAGAAGTAATCGCTTGAAATCAGGGATACAAAGCTGAAAGGGAAAGGAGATACAAAATGACGTAGAGGAAAGATCGGCCCCAGATCGACAAAGCCAGGAAAACCCACGCGTAAGACTGGTTTCACACACAGTTGGAACTGAAACGCATAGGGCTGGAGGACGTATATAGTAAGTAGTTTAAGTACAGCAAGGGGAAACTAGCCACCACAGTGAGAGTTAATAAAGCGAAGAAAATAAAAATAAAAATAAAATTCAGAAACAAGCGACTCCAGTGCGGCAGCGATCAAGATTCGACGGGGCAACTAGTTAGTAGTTATAGCTCCTCGCATGTCATCATCGCGGCACTGCTTTTCCTCTGCTAAGTTGCTAACAGGAGGCCGCCGTCCACTTCGCCGGGTGTTGGCACCAATCACACAAATGGGATCTTCCCGGTGGACTTTGTTTGAGGAGGGTGGTTCGGGGCCAAGCGGGTGAGCGAAAAGGGCCGTCAATAGTCAAAGACGCTTCGACACAGCTGATTCGGGGCAGATGCAAGCAAGTGATTGTCTAGAGCAGCCTTCTGGTTCTTGGTCTCCAAACTGTGGAGGACAGTATCACTGCCGTAAGTCCGAAGGCGACACATTGGGCAGGCAATGAATCAATCTGTTGCCTCTCGGATATCGGCACGCCTCCATTTTCGTAGCGGGGAAGCGGGAAGCGGGAAGCATACGTCGACTATCTATACGGATCTAGTATCTAGTACTGTTAGTAGCCCGAAAGCTTGGTACCGACTATGTACCACTAGATCAGAACATATAGTCTTCGTCACCCAATTATTGCCTGCATGGTACTGACAAATTACTATTCTCGTATTCATCAATCCTGCGGCAAATAAAAAAGAAAGTATTGTGATTCGTTGCGTTGCGTTGCAAGGTACTGACTCCTCAAGACTTCTCCAATAAAGGCTATGATCAGTTAGTGACTGCGCAGTAACTAGGTCAAATTTTCTCAGTCGATTATATATTGTCCGTCATACTATTCAATTATTTCCCCGTTAGCCAACCCTGAACAAATCGGCGAAAGCACAGCTAGATTCTTTTAACCCTTTCCGTCGAGACTGCCCAAGGAAGCACACCCTACCCCATAATCAGCACGATAGCTAAGCTGAGAGATTCTGAGACACATAAAGTAAAGACGACCCATTTATGACCCGTCTTGAGATGGATGTCAGAGAGCTAGCTATCTGTATCCCTAGCATGGGATACGATGGATAGTTATAAACTCAAGCCTGCAGGTACACCTCATCTTGCATATGCCACTTACTACGTGGTTATTATACATGCGCGAGGCTGGCTCTCAGATCCAGATCTCGTATTGTCACATTAATCTAGAGTCTCATAAGAATTCTTCCTGAGTAGAGTGCATAGTATACCTTCGCGAGTACATTATTCCCTACTCAGAAGCCTGCCGGAATATTGTATTTCCGGGTCAACATCTACAACAGCAACACTTCTGGGATACAACCATTCTAGAATACAAATGACCAAAATGATACCCCAGTGCTGTTAAAAATTCCAAAAGAGTTATGAGAAACTGTGGCTATCTGGGTATGCAGTAAGTGTCGTGTCAAGTTCGGGTAATCAGTTTTGAAATCTATATTTCATGCATAGAAGGAAAGCTACAGCATCTTCTCCGTAGGGTTTCAATATAAATGTGAAGGTCAAAGATACAGAATGCTAATCAAAGCGAAATGCCGCCGGGAGGTTGAGCAGCTGGCAGCATGTGTCGGGAGTAAGGTATATGTTCCTTTTTACATGTGGTAATCTTACCGAGGTTCTGCATCTGAACTAGTGTGATCGGCAGGGAAGGTACATAGATAGCAGGAAGCCTCGGAGAAGGACTTCCAACTTTAGCCTATATTTGTGACAGATCATTAAGATACATCAGATCCCGCACCCTTCGACAGTCATTCTCCATCTGCCCCGCTTTAAAGCACAATGAGAGGAACCGAAGACGGACGGAAGTCTGTGCTGATTACAGGGTAGGTGTTGCACATGATCGTCATCCCCTTATGAATATTATCTCCGTTGACATATTACTTATGCCGCCTAATCATACAGATGCTCTCCTGGCGGTATTGGGAACTCTATGGCCCGTGAGTTCCATCGTAATGGCCTGCGTGTGTTCGCTACTGCCCGTGATTCAAAGACAATCGAAGATCTATCGTCTATTGGGGTTGAGACTCTGAGTCTTACTGTTGACGATGAGGAAAGCGTTCGACGATGCTTTGAAGAAGTAAAAGGGAAGCTTGGGGAGAAAGGACTGGATTATCTCGTCAATAACGCGTAAGTTGTCACCTTTCTATTCTAACACATCATGAGCTGATATAGTCGCCAGTGGCCGGAGTACGTATGATAATTTTTATGACTTCATTAAGAACCTCTCTTATGCATGATAGATTATACTGTGCCAGCTATGGAGGCAGAGCTCTCCGAAATCCGTGACACGTTCGAAACAAACTTTGTCGCGGTTGTACACATTTGCCAGACCTTCCTACCACTTCTTATGAAGGCTAAGGGAACTATTGTACAGATTGGTTCTGTTGCTGGGGTGAGTGTGCTCGGAGATAAGCTTAAAGGGAAGCTACCTTGTGCTGATACTGGTCCAGGTTGTTCCCTACGTTTTCGGGTCCGTATACAACGCCTCGAAGGCTGCCGTGCACTCGTTTAGCGATGCCTTGCGTGTGGAACTAGCTCCGTTCGGGTATGTTACTTCAATAACCCCCCTCCCCCTCCGCCCTGTAACAGATTTATTGATACGAGGATATCAAGTGTGCACGTCACTACCGTCGTTACCGGGGGTGTGCAATCTCGCATCGCCCGTGTCAAGCGTACTCTGGTTCCCGGCTCAATCTATGCACCAATTGAGGACGAATATAACCGACGGGTGGTACATAGCCAGGCTGGGGCCATGCCAAACGAAGCATACGCTCGCAGCGTGGTCACACAGGTTCTCTATGGGTCTGCACCATGGCGCTGGATTTGGCCCTGGGCGCAAGGTCGGAAGAACTGGATCTGGGAAGGTAACAAAAGCTGGTTGATCTGGCTGCTTATGGGAGGATGGGCTTGGAATGGCCTGTCTGGGAAGATTGTGACGAAGATGTTCAAACTCAACAGACTCAGAAGAGCTGCTGGGAAATGAAGGGAGAGGGGATGGCGTAAGGACGGATGAATCTGTTCTGTTGGACGGGGTTCACGTCGATCCTTCAGGTCATTCGTTCCAAGTGTAGTATTAGCATTCCAAAACACGGCGTTTACTGGTTGGGATGTCATCTTCTCTGCTTGAACCGGTTGCTTGACATCAGTAAGACTGGTCTTTCGACATCGTAGGGCAATCAGTGGTGCATGCCGACGTCGTAAGACCGTTTAAACCATTTGCCGTATGCCCCCGGGCTAGGAGGATAAGCCGGCGGATTCAGGGTTCGGGTTCGGGGCGAGGCGCCAAGTAGAAGAACTAGCTGCCCGAGAGGCATAGTAACTTCACGAACGAAGCCGAGATATCATGGTTGCCTCTGCACAAGATATTTCTCACTGATGTTGCCTAACGGGTTCAGATCCATGCTGACCGTCCCAAACAGGCCATCGACGAGCTTCAGACGCGGTAGGGACCAGGCGAGAGGATGGCCCCGTTCCGTGATATTCGCGTCGGAAACTGTGCTGCTTAATCATCCCGAGGCGCACGCTGGTTGGCCCGTCAGGTGACTGCCGATGGCTACTCCCAAGGCAATTATCATCCCGAGAAGCGCAGCCGCGAAAAAGAAAGCTGTTCTCCCATCAACACCCCAAATACTTCCCCCATCTTCTCCCGCATAACCTCACGTCGGAGGATACTCTTGTTCTTGTCACCCTTCTCTCCCCGACAAGACTTTTTTGATCCCTCTCCTCTCCTCTCTTCTAAATACCTCAGTCACCATGTTCAAGCTTGCCCGCAGCAAACCGGTTACGACAGCTTTGAGGGCTGCGACGGTAAGCATCCCTGGGCCCTTTTGCCCTTACCTCCTGCCAAATCTTCTAAAGGCAGATCGGCGTGCTAACATCTCCGTTGTTGACAGGAATCTTCCGTCCAGACCCGTGTTGCTCAGCAACAGAGAAACCTGTCGATCCACGAATACCTGTCTGCGAACCTGCTCAAGTCGGTGCGTCGGGCACCCAAATTTCTGCTGTAAAATTTCGCCTTGCAATTATCACTAATACGATACTACAGTATGGCGTCGGCATGCCCAAGGGTGAAGTCGCCCGCTCCGCGGAGGAGGCTGAGGCCGTTGCCAAGTCCCTCGGTACGTTTTTGTGATCCGCCGTGCTCCAACCCAAAAGTCGCGACGGCTACTAAGACGGGGATGTTATAGGTAATGACGACATGGTCATCAAGGCCCAGGTTCTTGCTGGTGGTCGTGGTAAGGGTACTTTCGACAATGGCCTTAAGGGTGGTGTGCGCGTGATCTACTCGTGAGTGTGACCCGCGTTATTCCGAGTCTTCCCTTGCGCTGATCTGTATAAAATTTTAGGCCTACCGAGGCCAAGATGTTCGCTAGCCAGATGATCGGACAGAAGCTGATCACGAAGCAGACTGGCGCTGCTGGTCGTCTTTGCAACTCTGTCTACATCTGTGAGCGCAAGTTCGCTCGCCGCGAGTTCTACCTTGCTGTCCTCATGGACCGCGCCTCTCAGAGCCCCGTCATTGTCGCCTCGTCGCAAGGTGGTATGGACATTGAGGCCGTCGCCAAGGAGAACCCCGAGGCCATCATCACCACTCCCATTGACATCAAGGTCGGTGTGACCGATGCCATTGCTCACAAGATCGTCACCGAGCTCGGCTTCTCCGAGCAGTGCGTCGAGGAGGCCAAGGACACCATCCAGAAGCTCTACAAGGTCTTCATGGAGAAGGATGCTACCCAGATCGAGATCAACCCTCTGTCTGAGACCTCCGACCACAAGGTCATGGCCATGGATGCCAAGCTTGGCTTCGATGACAACGCCGATTTCCGCCAGAAGGAGGTCTTCTCCTGGAGAGACACCACCCAGGAAGACGCCGATGAGGTCAAGGCTGCTGAGTAAGATCTTCCTGGCTTTCATATTTACAACGCTCGAAAGCATTCTAATCTACGGCATAGGCACGGTCTGAACTTCATCAAGCTTGACGGTGACATTGGATGCCTGGGTATGGGTCCATCCCACTCGACTGATATGATTTATGCTAACGGTCGCCATAGTTAACGGTGCTGGTCTTGCCATGGCCACCATGGATATCATCAAGCTCAACGGCGGTGCCCCCGCCAACTTCCTCGATGTCGGTGGTGGTGCCACTCCCGCCGCCATCAAGTCCGCTTTCGAGCTCATCACCAGCGACCCCAAGGTGACTGCCATCTTCGTCAACATCTTCGGTGGTATCGTCCGCTGCGACGCTATTGCCCAGGGTTTGATCAACGTCGTGCAGGAGATGGGTCTGCGCACTCCCATCGTTGCCCGTCTGCAGGGTACCAACATGGAGCAGGCTCACAAGCTGGTATGTTCTTACCATTTATCGGGGGATCAGCGTAACGAAAACACAAGCTAACTGACGTGGTTTGCAGATCAACGAGTCCGGCCTCAAGATTTTCTCCATTGAGGATCTCCAGAGCGCTGCTGAGAAGTCTGTCCAGTTCTCCAAGGTCGTCAAGATGGCCCGCGAGATCGACGTTGGCGTTGAGTTCACCCTTGGTATCTAATCTCCGAGTCGGATTTGGATTTATAGATGTGTCACACCTTGTCTACTGCTCCACTGTCTCTTGTACTCTTTTTATTTTTCCTTTTATTTTCCTTACTTCCCTCTTGCTTTCCCCCACTCCGATGGCCGGGGATTCAGAAGGTTTATGCGTGTTCGATGGTGCAGCGAGATGCGGAGCAATAGGCCGACGGTTGGTGACCACGGGCTTCGTCGACGATGCTAACGCACTCCTGCTGCCTAGAATAAGATCGGTCATAGGGGTTGTCACAAACGAGTTGCTATAATGGTGAAATGAGACGGATTCAGACAGAGAGAGCACGAGGGGTATCTTTATAGAGAGCATTTGATGGTCCTGTATATCGTCCATTTCTAGGTTCATTTTCTTATGTCAAATGTATTTTCCCTTTTTCTGTGCCCTCTTTGGTGTCGTTGGGTGATAATCTCCCTCACGCTGCTGGAAGCGCCAGATTGGTAGACTCTGGAGGATGTACGTCCTTGAACCGCCACACTTTTACATCGATTTCGTGGAGCAGGAGAATGAAGTCCCTATCGCCGCGGAGAGTGAAGAGGTTCGAGTAAATGCCGTCCGAGGCTTCTCGGGGCAGCCCGAGACTCATGGATTTGGCCGGGCGATGAGGGATCCGGGACGCTGGGTTGAAGATCCAGATAGCCGGTTTCCCCCTATCGCTCTTCACATAGTAGAGAAGATCGCCGTCCAGCACGGTCGTGCAAAAGGGGAAGTAAGGTGTACATTCTTCCTGGAGCAATGTGTGCATGTGGATTTTGTCCCGCTGCGGGTCGTATGAAACTACAAGGACATGGTGCAAGTTGGACGCTGTCGTTGTCGACGACGGTGTATTGAGTTGAGACGGCGGTTTGCAGACAAAGACAGCTAAGTTGCTAGCAGAACTGTTTGATATATCGGCAATGCTCCAGTCGGGTTGAATGGGGGACGGTAAGTGTAGTGTATAGGGGGGAAATGGACTGGTGATGCGGCCGTAGTCATCAAAGGTGTGCTTTACGACACGTAGTCTGTCCCAAGGCGAAGGGTGAACGTTCATGGGATCATCTCCTTTTTCGAGGAGAGTGGTCACGCTGTTGGTGCTGGGTTGCAGGCCTATCAATGCCAGGTGGGAAGTTACTTCGATGGTACGAGCAGCTCGCGAGCCCATGTCCCAGTAATAGATCTTGTTCTCCTCGTCACCAGCTGCAGAACAGTGATTGATACTCAGAGCAACCTTGAGACCATTAACAACGAAGATCCGAAAGCTGAAAGCGGGGATACGGAACGAGGCGTGTTCTTCCGTCTCGAGGTTCCAGGCGTGGCAGTATCTAGACTCGGGATGAGCTGGGTGTCTAAAGTGTTCCTTTCTCGGCGAAACCACCGCAAGATGTGGTTTATCTTATGTGTACTTACGCACGCGCGCTGATTGCGACCACCATGGAATCGGAGAGACGCAAATCCCAAAACGAGTCTCGATTCTCCGTGCAGAACCGCTGGGTGGAGCGCTTGCAGAGATCGTGCACGACGACATGGGTGCCGTTGTCTAGCCAAGCACACCTTCCATTGGCGTAATCCAGGCATTCAAGCTTTGAGCCATCTGTCGGAAAGAGGTTGGAAGCCTGGAGATTGCAGATGGGTAGACCACGCTCCAGACGGATTCTATACTTGGCATATTGGGTGAAGTGGTCAGCTGGGCCATGTTCCGCTGCAAGCACATGCCCTGTGTATTGCTGGTATACAGCACCCTGGATCAATTCTGACGAGAGTAGCTGGCGCCACTTTCTAGAGACCTGGTGGAATGTGGCTTGAACTCAGTCTCGGGGGGGTCATAAGGGTGGCTGGTCACCTTTTTCAAGGCCACGGGGGGGGGATGGCAACATACTCTGTGGAGGATATGGAGGTCAGAAAGGTCGAGATACTGAGCGATTTGAACTGCGATTTCTGGGGGGGATTCCGCTAGAATATCCATTTGAAAGGAGCGCTGACTGGTGCGCTTTTGTACATCGCGCCATTCATGGGGGTTCAATAGGTCTAGAATGCGATGATACCTGTCGGGAAGGGCTGCATGAGCTTAATCTAAGACTGAGGTTTATGAAGGGGAAAAGAGGGGGAAAGGAAGATCATCGACGACGGATGGATGGATGAATGGATGGTCATACGCATCCTGTCGAGCTGAGCTCGTATTCAGATGAGTGAAGAGGGTGATGATTTGCTGTATAGAAGAGGCATCGGCGGTCATGGCTGACGGCCAGTCGACGCTATTCTAAGACGAGGTCTCAGAGTCTCAACTACGGAGGGGACGATAGATGGATAGTAGTTTGGGTAGTTTAGACAGCCTGGGTTCTGGTGGTGGATGGTACTAGAGGAAAGGGAAGTCCGATAGTTAGTTAGTAGGGAGTAGTTTAAGGCGAGCCGTCCTGCAGGGTCTGGAGCTGCTCAGACAAGGCAGGCACGCAGGCAGGCAGGCACTCTTCTCATCTTTAACTCCTTGTCTGTATTATTTCTATTAAAGTGAGAAAGGAAGAGTTTCTGTTTTAGTCACTTTTTGGATCTCTTCGGTTTCT